AGAAATAGATATATAAGCAACATATATCTTAATTTAGAATTATTATCAAGTTATCAAGATCAAATATTACTTTATAAAATGTTCTTTAATAATAAAAATTGATTGTAACTTATATTACTTTGATCTTTTAATTACGTTGTCTTAACAAGAAACTATTATTTGTATTTTTATTATTTGTATTATTTATTTATTTATTATTTGCATTATTGTTTTTAAGATTTTTGAGAGATGCCAGGAAGGTATTATTTTATTTTAATTTTTGTGTTGCTGACCTAAAGAGAGGCAGCATTTATATTTATTTTATTATATTCATATTTGCATTTTTATATAGCTATCATTGACTGGTACTTCAGAAAAGCTTTGATAGTTATCATATTTATTTCATTAAGTTTCTTGTTAAAAGTTATATCCAACTCTTATTTGATATTTAAATTATAAGTTTTGATAGTTCAGTAGTTCAACCTTTTAATTGAATACAGTTATTATTGCCATTTTGAAATACTTCCATATGCAAAAGCTCAAAATGGTAACAATAGTAAAATTTATGAAATAAAAATTTAAAAAAGTTATTACTAATAAAAATTTTTTAATGAAATATATATAATTAAAATATATCTTTTTTTAAGTAATTCTAATATCTAATAACTTAATTAAATAAAACAGAATTAAAATTTTATTTTAAAAAAAATTTATTAATAATTATTTGAAGTACAAATCTTTTTGCATCAGATTATAGTAAAAATTAAAAATTTACTTAGTAATAACTAAAATATTTTTATTTTTATATTTATAAATTATAATAATTCAAATATTATTATAATATAAATATTTTATTAATTAGATTATAATATAAGTTTTATTGAATAATAATTATAATCAAATTCTTCTATAATCATTAGAGATGTTGCAGCAAGTATGAAACACTTATTTGTTATCTACTACAACATGTTGCAACTCCAAAATTTTATAAGCTGCAACTAGTTGTAACTAGATAATGCTTTATTTGTTACAATATTGTAACAATTGCTACATTATCTTTAATAATTATACCTATTTATAATTACATTTTTCTATAATTATTCTATTTTACTTTTTTATTTATATATAAATATAGTAAAAAAATTTCTCTATAGTCATATTTTCTTTATAGTTATCTAATTTTGCTCTTCTAAGAGTGATAATTATAAAGAAATTTAATTATATTAATTTTATTAAACAAAATTTGAGCTATTAATAATTAATTAACTAAATTATATAATAATATAGTCAAACACCTTTATAGTTATTATTTTTGAAAAAAGAAAATTTGATAACTATAGAAAAAATATAATTATAAAGAAATTTTTTTATTATATTTATATATAAATAGAAAAACAAATAATATAACTATAAAAAGATATGACTATAAACAAGTATAATTATAGAGGAATTTAACTATAACAAAAATGATTCAAGTAATAACAACAAATCAAATAATGATAATGATTCCAATAATAATAGTAACTAAAATAAATCAAGTACTAGAAATTATTTGTATAATAACCAAATCAAATTTAATAATTTTTATATAAATACAATCAAGTATTTCTATAGTCACATTCATTTATAATCATAAATATTATATTTTACTTTTTTATTTATATATAAATATAATAAAAAAAATATCTTTATAATCATATTTTCTTTATAATTATCAAATTTTGCTTTTTTAAAAATGATAACTATAGAAAGATTTAACTATATAACTTGTATTTTAGCCAAAATTTAATAAGTTTTTAAATTTCATTTATATTCTTTAAATAAAATTCTTAAAGTATTATTTTTTGTTGAATAATTTGTAAAGTATCTCAAATTTTACTTTGTATTGGTTTTGATCTTGAAAGATAAATTGCTTATAATAAATCACTTTTGTTATTAACTTATAAGAAATTATTTGAAAGATATATTAACTTATATTATAACTTATTGAAGTTATATTTGAATTATTGAGATTATAAAGTTAAAGTGAAGTTTAATATTTGAATCTGAATCGGATATATCCAAATCAATCTGAATGGATCAGATATTCAGGTTATAATCATAATTATCTGAATGAATGTGGATCAACTCATAGATAAATCCTTCAATTAATCTGTTAGAAATTCATCATTTTGTTATATCATGCTACAGATTTACTATTTTTTTAATTTCTATGATATGACATATAGTTTCATAATTTTTTGATGATTTTGTAAATTTTTGGCTTTTATTATTATTATTATTATTTAATTTGTTCAAAATGTGTAGAATTAGTGATACAAAAGAAAAATTACAAATTTATGACTAGTAAATGAACTCGTTGTCAAGAAAATAATTGATTAGCATTATCAACTTTAAATGCATTCATTATAACGAATATTATAGATTATCAGCTCACCTGAATTGCACAAACAACCTGAAGTTACATATGTAATAAATTGTGAGAATGGCGAGTCTTGGACGATTTGCAAATGATTCAACCAATCATATAATTTTGTCGATTATAGAACAGCATCCAATAAGAATGTAGGAATTTTTGATCAGACCGGCAAAACAGATCCGACACAAGAAAAGAAAATGCGAAAAAATACGAGAAACAGATGACTAATTAAAAACGTCGGGAGGCAATTTTATATACAATTTGTAGCTCAGCCTTAATACTAAAACCAATCTTCTAATCTAATTTAATAGTACAGTAGAATTTTTCGAGATCAACAAAACCTGGCAGATTACTTAGCTTTAGTGAATTACCATTTCAGAAGTATTTCTAGAATGGGGAAAAATTTCGCGAGTTTTTCGAACATTCGAAAAGAATTTGGGGAACGTCTAAAGCCTGGTCCATCACGTGATATATAACTATATAATTAAAGATTGATTTTAAGCTTAGGGTTAGGGTTAGAGTTGTAATCAAGCTTATATATAAAATTGCCTCCCCAACATTTTTTTATTAGTATACCAAGATAGATTTAAGCATCTATTTTCCGTTATTTTTCATGTTTTTGCCCGCGCTTCGGATTTGTTTTGCCGAGTTGAACAAAAATTTACGCATCCTTATTGGTTTGTGTTTCGGACTGATTATCGGATGGACCAGGCATTAGTCATGTTCCCATTTGGGTGCATAATATGTAGGCCGAAATTGAAACACCACATGGTTGAGTCTGGTACCCCTCAAACAATTTTTAACATTCAACTTCGCCATTCCCTTCGAAGCCTCTTTCAAATCCATAATAATATCTTATATCAATTTCAAAATCCTATATTAATATCTAAAAGAAATATATCAATATATCTTTATTAGATGAATCCGATTGAATCACCATATTATCAACATAGACAGGGTAGTTTAGAGAAGCTTGCCGCACGTAGTATGTCTGATTCCGGAGACTCAGATTCTAATCAACATGTTCCTCATAGCGATGCTAACGGTATCCAATATAGACCACAAGAAAATGGAAGGGTAATCCCAAGAGGAGAAATCCTAACCCGTATTGTCCCGTATTATGAAGTGAATATTCTTCTTTATCATTTTGTTATTTTGTTACTTGATTAGAATTAATTTTATGATTGATATTATAATTACTAGTCGTTTCTCTTTTTTGATACTAATGATATTTTTTATCTTGAATATAAAATAAATCAATTAATGACTGGATGATAATATCAGTTGTTTATAACCACTTCTGGGCTACTCGGTTACCACATCCTAACCGTTGCTGAAAAACACATCAAAGGCAATGGAAAACATATATTTCTATTCGGAGCATGTGATCCAATAAATTATCAATCCGATATAGATTTATGCTCTGCCTCAATGTTAACCTGGAGTTTAATAGGTGGAGCGGTATTATATTTCATATCAGCAAGTTTAATTGCATTTTTGTTGTTCTTGGAATGTCGTAGAAACGGTTATCCCGGGATGTTTACCGCGTTATGGAACTCCCCTTTCTTTTTGGTTTGTTATTTCTTTAACGAGAAACACCGTATTGATTTACTGACTATTCCGAATCGACTGATGGGATTTCGTAAATGGACACGCTCGCATATTCATCGGCTACTATTTTCGGTTTATGCATTAATTAATACTTGTTTGATTGCCAATAATTTGTCAAAAAAAACGGTCGATAATAGTGATTATGAGGCGACTAAGAACGAGCAAGGACGTGATCTTTGTATGTATCATTATAATTATTTATATTCCGCGTAGTTATTTTTTGATATAATTGATTGATATTCATTTCTTTCTAATTCATGAATTCAGATTCGCATGTATATAATTCCATTTTTCTTCCGTATTATGTAGCCATATATTTGTACGTGAAAAGTGTCATTTCAATGTCATTTGTAATTAAGAGTCATCTGGGAAATGATAGACCGGAAAAAGTTGGAGTTGATTATCGTTCATTGAAAACAAACTAGTTAGAATTCAAATACACTTGATACTCTGATTTATTTGTATTACGTGAATTATATATGTCGAAAAGGTTATAAGACGATTAATAATTTATCTAGTTTAAATTCTGAATATATCTTTCAAGATTGATTTTTTATTTTTTTTTATTTTGTTAACTGGAAATAACCGTTAACTAAAAATTTTTCATCATATTAAACAACTTAAAATATAATTGCGTTGGCCGGGAATCGAACCCGGGACGCGTGCTTGGAAGGCATGCATGCTAACCACTACACCACCAACGCCTTTTTTAGTACTAAACGAGGAAAAATAATTTATTCTAACTGATACGGGTAGAAACGGGAAGTCGTACTCATTTAAAAATTTACTTGTAAAATAAAAAACTTAAATTTCCATGTTTTTTAATAAAATTTCCAAGAGTTTTTCTTTCAAATAAAATCATCAATTAATCAATACAAAATCTAGTTAGTCAATAAACTGTTTCTTGTTTATTGTTAATGAAATTTGTATATTAATTGATTAAATAATAACTTATTAAAATACTTGTATTTATTGCACACTATTGGACAACTACCAAGTTGCTATAGAATATCAGTACTGTATTACTATAAAACTGTCACACACTAAGTAGACATAACATCTATTAGTAATAGTGAGAGTCTATCTAACTGATAGAAGAAAACGCACTGAGTGATGATCCTGAAGTATATTTATTACGAAAAGATTGAGTAATCATAAAAATTACTATTATCAGATATTGATCAAATACCTACATCATGATAACACTTATTAGGAGTTTGATCATGACATTGTTATTCTTAATAAACTTTACTATAATTATCCTGGTCAAATAACTTATTATAATATTATTAAGTACTCACCAACTCTCCCAAGAACTCATATAAAATGGTAACAATATAAATATAATAAAAAAACTCACTCTATAGTTACATTCTCTTTATAATCATATTATCTTTATAGTCACATTTTTTTTATAGTCACATTCTTTCTATAATTAGCAAATTTTACTTTTTCAAGAGTTGTAATTATAGAAAGATTTGACTGTATATTTTTATTTTCATATTATATTTTTATATAATTATTTACTTATACTTTAAAAAAAACTTTGATAATTATTATATTTATTCTAATTTATTAGTTTCTTATTGAGATTATATTTAATTTCATTATATTATTTTTTTAATATTCAAATTTAAGTTTTGATAATTCAGTAATTTGATATTTTACATAAATATAATTACTCACTATATTTTAGAAATATTATTATAGATAATATTTATTAAATAATTATAAACTAAAAAAATTTTTTTAAATTACAAATATATTTTTATAAAGTTTTTTTTAAAATTACTTATTAAAAATATTAAAAATATTTTTTATTTTTATTTAATGTTAAAAATTTTAATTTATTACTTTTAATATAAAATTTTATAAAATATTATTATACTAATATACTTTATAATATTAAAAAAAACTTGTTTTCAATATTTTAAAAAATATATCTATAAATTTTTAAAAAATTACTTATTAAAATATAAATAAAAATCATATTTATTATTATTTTTATTAAAAATTATATATTTATTTATATAAAAATATAATAAAATATATAATACAATAATAATTAGAAATAATATTAAAATTTGTTAATTAAATATGATAAAATATAAATTTTTTATTTATATAAAAGTTTTCAATTTTATTAATAAATATTTTTTATTTTTACATTAAACTAAAGATAATATTATATATTTAATATATATTTTTTTAGATTTTTTAGATTTAATTTGATAAAACTATTTTAATTGCATATAAAGTCAATTATTTTTTTATATGTTTTAATTATAAAAAAATTAATTTTATATGCAATTAAAACAACTTTATCAGATTAAATCTAAAAAATATATTAAAATATGTAATATTATCTTTAGTTTAATATAAAAATAAAAAATATTTATTAATAAATTGAAAACTTTTATATAAAGAGAAAAATTCACATTTTACTATATTTAATTAATAAATTTTGACGTTATTGTATTATTTCTAATTGTTACTATATAATGAACTTTATAATAATAATAATAGTAGTAAATAATTTTAATAATTCAAATAATTTTAGTACCAAATAATCAATAACTAATTATTTTAAAAGATCAAATATTCTAATTAATTATTTTTAAAAAATTAAGTAATCTTATAATCTTTTTATTCAATAAAATTTTTAAAAATTAAAATTAAACTTTGTAATATCATTATAAAAATAACTGAAATTTTATTGATTAAAAAATAAATTACATAATGTTATCATTCTTATATTAATAAACAAGATATTAACTAATTATAGTAATTAATTAAGAATTGTATAAGAACAATAATAGTGACTGTGTGTACTTGAGAGGGTTGGATACTAGATGGTTGAGAGAGAGTATTAAAAAGAAATAGATTCTGATACTTCCACTAGTTGGATAAGTATTTTATAATTTAAAAGTGCAAATGATTTATTAAAATACAAAAGATGAATTCTACTAGTTGGGTAAGTTAAAGTTAAGTAAATAATAAATCAAAGATAACAATAAGTAAAAGATTAATTAGAAGTATTAG